CGATTATGTAGCGTCTGCATAGCTAGTATTATCTAGCGATTATGTAGCCCCGTATAAACACTTAACTCGAGTTAAATTTCGTCGTGTACACCGTAACATCGATACCACTGTCAATCCGTCCAATCCTGCTAATGTTTCCTTCTCTTTTAGCCTGTTCTATTTCCATCAACGACCTCTCCTCCTCATGCCTCGGTGCCGCAAACTAGCTAAATGGCAAGATGCCGATATGAGTTCGGCCGTGCTTGCTGTCAAGCAGAAAAGAATGTCAACGAGAGAAGTAGCAAAATTTTATAACGTACTGAAATCTACTCTTGGTGACAGAGTCACAGGGAAAATTAAGGAACAATCTAAAATGGGTTGTCCACCAACCATCCCCCTCAAAATAGAAAATGACCAAGTACTAGTCACTAATGCAAAAAAATGTGCTGCCTCCGGATTTGGATATTCGCGAAAAACGTTTTTGGACAAGGCAATACAACTGTGTACTAGGATGGAAATTCCAATCAAGAGTAAATCAGGAAGCCTGGGGAAAGACTGGTGGAAAGGCTTCAAATCACGTCATCAGGACATCTCTCTCAGAAAACCCGAAAAGCTGACAACAGTGAGAGCAAGAATGCTAACCCGCACAGTAACATCGAAATACTTTACAGACCTCGGAATTTTTTTTAGAAAAGCTAGACAAAAAACAAGCCACAACAAATTTACAACTGCGACGAGACTGGCATCAACTTTGAGCACCAACCATCCAAAATAATAGCAGCAAGGGGGGCAAAAGTAGTACAGAGCAGGGTTAGTAACAGCAAGCAGAATGTAACGGTTATGGCTGCAATCAACACAGCTGGTAAGGCGATTCCGCGAGCTGTTGTTGTCAAGGGAAAAACAAGCAAGGCATTGCAGGGGTACGACACAGCGTCCGGGCCACCAGAGACGCTGTGGTCGTGCCAAAGAAAAGCATGGATGGAGGACGTGCTCGGCAAGGACTGGCTGCAGTCAGTCTTCCTCCCCAACGCCAGGAAGGAGCGGCCTCTCCTGCTAGTCTTGGATGACCACAGCAGTCACGTCACTCTGGACTTTATCCAGCTAGCCAGAGAAAATGATGTCCACCTGCTAGCCTTGCCTCCGCACACTACTCACTTCCTGCAGCCTCTCGACCGATCATTCTTTGGCCCCCTAAAACAAAACTATAATGCAGTATGCACAAAATTATCAGGGAAAATCCGGACAAGATGATCAGCAAGTGGGGTTAGCCCTCCCTTTTTAGAGGCAGTTGGCTACAAACCATAGCGCCCCTCACTATAGCAAACGAGTTCCGCGCAACAGGATTATATCCATTCAGTCCAAGCACGATCCCCGAAGCAGCATTCATGCCGTCCGACCCGTACGACCTGCCAGCACCCATCAGAGATTCCAGCACCATTCCACGATCCAACAGCACCTTTTCAGAGGAGGTAGGCATTGGAGGCACCCCTACAGAGGAAAGACAAGCAGCTGCAGCTACAATAATATCCGCAGAGCTGGCTGCTCTTCAAGTGCTCGAAAACACCTTGAGCAAAGAGTAAGTAGACACGTTCAACAACAGGCTTGAAAATGAGTACGACATGCCAGAAACATACGACCAACTATATTCGTGTTGGAGGAGCTTAAAAGAAGCTGCTGCTGCTACGCCATCGCCGCAGCTTGTCGACGTTGTGGAAGCTGTTGGTCCCATTCCATCTTGGGACGACAGTGTCGAATCAATATTCGCACAACCATCGACAAGCACAACCCTAGATAATAACCCTAGAAAATGAAAAGGCAAATTACATCCCACCGATTCTTAACTAGTAAAGAATACATAGCAAAAAAAATTGCGTCAGAGGAGGAGAAAACCCAAATTATAAAAGTGAAGGAGACAAGAAAACGCGAGAGAGAAATAAAAAAGGCAAAACAAGCAGATGATAAAGCAAAGAAGACGTTGGAAAAAGCAAAAAGGAAATGCTGTAAAATCAACAGTAGACGACAAGTACTTTGTGTGCTTGACCTCGTGGCATGATGATGAGGGTGGAATGGAGTGGGTGCAGTGTGAGAAGTGCGAGAAATGGCTCCACACTGGTTGCATACCTGAGTGTATTTTTTAAAGATAAAATAAAAAATATGAGTGTAATTAGAGATATTGTGCATAACATGTAATACTATATTAAAGTAACCTCATTTAAAGGATTGAAGGAAAATGTTATTTGCTGCTTGTGAGAATACTGACATTGTAGAAGGTACATACACTTAGCATTTCTGTAGATACATCAAAGTGCACATCAAGTGTTTGTGTGATCCCAGTCAGAAACCAACCCCCGTGCTCTCATGTAATTTCAATAGACTTCGGATCAAGTAATCACTTCTACAGATCCTGAGATTGTAGAGGTCCCACTTTGTGCATTTGTATATTTTTTATAGTTATAATCAATCTTAAAGTGATAGAGGTATGATTAGATGATCTTAATAAGCAAGTATCAAATATTTGAAGTATGGATACGATATTGATATATGATGTTATCATGTACAAGTGTTAACACAAAAGAGGCTTAAAGAGAAACTTCCCCCAAAATCGTGTAATTGTTAAATCTCTGCCAATTTGCCTTATATTATTGAAGAAAATGTATCGCGGTCAAAAGTATCTTATTGCAGAGAAAATTGTAACTAGTAAAACATCTAATTATCTAAATTCATGATAGTTGACATGAACAAAATTTTAAATTTTGTTGAAATTGTACTGTTATCCGCTTCAGTCACAAGCGTTATCAAGACATATATGACTATATAAAACGATATTATTTATTATTTACATCATTATGTAGACATGTAGTCAACATTCAATTGTTTATTTTAAGAAACTGCAGAAAGTAATGGGTCTCTTGTCTTTTTCATTTTCAAATATCTCAACAGCCTGTACTATGATATCTTCAAGAAGACGTATGGTGCCTATTCTGGAGAAAAGATGCTCCTCGACATGGACAAAATCAGCGAGCAGTACAATGAAGAGCAACAGGATGTATGTGCTCGCATGACAACTACTGAAGACGATCAAACAATAGTTGCTATATGCACTCCATTAATGAAGAGAGTCCACAAACTGGTGAAACACAGCGCAGAAATGCTATTCATTGATTCATCAGGGAACTGTGACCGACACAACACCATGATTTTTGTCCTTACACACTCTACAGCTGGGGCACTACCCCCGGGAGTGATTTTGGCTACCTCAGAGAGTCAAAATACAATTGCTGCCGGCCTCAACCTTCTGAAGACAGTACTCCCTGAAGAAGGCTTCTTTGAAATGGAGTCACGTGGGCCGAGAGTTATTATCACGGATGATTGCCAGTCTTTAAGACAGGCCCTGCATTGAGTCTATCCAGAGGCAGCACTTCTTCTTTGTGTCTTACATCTCTTGCAAGCCATGTGGCGTTGGTTGTGGGATAGCCACAATAATGTTCCAAAGAAGGACAGGTCATACCTTCTTCAGGTGTTTAAGAGGATGGTGTATGCAGAAACAACCACTGAGCTCAACGACCGTTATGATGTTATCTGTCATGATGCTATCGTACAACAACACCCCAAGTACATGGAACACCTTGGAAAGGTATATGAGAGGCGACAGGGATGGGCTCTCTGTCTCAGGTCGGACTTGCCAACAAGAGGGAATAACACGAACAATTTTGTGGAGAGTGCGATGCGAGTCGTGAAGGAGAAAGTTCTTCACAGGTTGAAGGCCTACAATGTTACCCAACTGCTTCGTTTCATCATGACAAGGATGAAGGACTACTATGCCAGACGCCTGACAGATGTGGCCAACAACAGAATGACAAGTTCACGATCAAAGTACAAGTTGAAGAACAATGATGTCGACTGTGACAAAGTTGCTAAGGTTGGTAAAGTACTATAATCAATCAGCATAAACCTAAATACTTCTGACATTCGACTCACAAATGAGGTCACATTATTCCAAAGATGTATCATTTTAGATTTTTTAAAGTTAGGTTACAGATTTAATATTTGTTAGTTTTCAAAATTATAAATATTCCCATATGAAGAAAATTGTCAAACAGTAGAGATAACACATATGGTCCGTAGGCGCACAATTTATGGCAGATGTGGGACTCTTGGTCATCACATTTGAAATTTGTGAAAGGGTTCTGAGCTAAAATTAAAAAATAATTTAATAAAAACAGACCTAATAGGGATATGTATACCATTGAGGTAGACTTTCTAATCTTTTACACCTTTAAAACAATTGAACACATTTGGGACTAACAGGGTTTACTAGAATCCCACCACTCCACCACAGAGTCACCGCAGTAGACGTTAGATGAGCGCTGTCGCTCTGCGGCACTTGTATTAGTTATTATATTATGGTTATCTATATTAATTCTATGGTCCATCCAGACCGTGTGACACCATAGATAGTGTTTGGGATACTATAGATAGTATATAAGTCGATCCAAGTCGATTTATAGTTGGTGGTAGGGTTCGGGTTAGTGTTAGGGTTTTTGCATCATTTTTTGATATACGGAAAGTCTGATGCATGCGCAACCACCAGCACCATCAGCAGGGTGTATGCGTACATGCATTCAACTTCGGAGATAGCGGAGTTCGTGCGTGACGTACACTGAAGTCTGGTTCATGGAAACATGCCCACCTGAAATTACGTCGGTGTGTAGCAGAAAATTTCGGGTGGGTAAATCGTTGTGTTTCTTGTTTAATAACACAAGTATTCATGACTATGTGTGTTTTTAACATGAATGAACATGTCAGGATGCCTTTTTACATAAGTTTACAAAAAAATACTTCCATTACATGAAATTATCACATGATTTATGCTGTCCGACCTTACCCGTCCTCCAAAATTTGTCTTGAGTCTAAAGTCGGACAGACAGTAGAATCATAATGTCAACTCTCCTAGAGGCAACACTTTTTAATTTTACAATAAAACAAAATTTTAACATATTAATTGTGCATAATTAAATTTTAAACGAGTTAAATTTTAAATTAAATACTGCGTTGAATCTGAATTTTGTAAAAAAGTAAAGGTGCAGTATATACACAGTCTCCCTCTCCCCTGCGTCCCACCTCTAATACAAACTTTATTTTTACATTGTAAACACTGCCCTAGTACACAATGGTTCCCAACCCCGCGCACATTATCTCCTGCCTACAGCCTTGTCTACACAACGAAATTTAACTCGAGTTAGCGATTATGTAGCGTCTACATAGCTATTATCTAGCGATTATGTAGCCCCGTATAAACACTTAACTCGAGTTAAATTTCGTCGTGTAAACGAGGCTTATATGTACACCGTAACATCGATACCACTGTCAATCCATCCAATCCTACTAATGTTTCCTTCTTTTTTAGCGTGTTCTATTTCCATCAACGACCTCTCCTCATGCCTCGGTGCCGCAAACTAGCTAAATGGCAAGATGCCGATATGAGTTCGGCCGTGCTTGCTGTCAAGCAGAAAAGAATGTCGACGAGAGAAGCAGCAAAATTTTATAACGTACCGAAATCGACTCTTGGTGACAGTCACAGGGAAAATTAAGGGAAAATCTAAAATGGGTTGTACGCCAACTATCCCCCTCAAAATAGAAATTGACGTAGTCCCTAATGCGAAAAAATGTGCTGCCTCCGGATTTGGATATTCGCGAAAAACGTTTTTGGACAAGGCAACACAACTGTGTACTAGGATGGAAATTCCAATCAAGAGTAAATCAGGAAGCCTGGGGAAAGACTGGTGGAAAGGCTTCAAATCACGTCATCAGGACATCTCTCTCAGAAAACCCGAAAAGCTGACAACAGTGAGAGCAAGAATGCTAAACTGCACGATAACATCGAAACACTTTACAGACCTCGGAGAAATTTTAGAAAAGCTAGACATAAACCCCCCCCCCCTCACAACAAATGTACAACTGCGACGAGACTGGCATCAACTTTGAGCACCAACCATCCAAAATAATAGCAGCAATGGGGGCAAAAGTAGTACAGAGCAGGGTTAGTAACAGCAAGCAGAATGTAACGGTTATGGCTGCAATCAACGCAGCTGGTGAAGCGATTCCGCCAGCTGTTGTTGTTAAGAGAAAAACAAGCAAGGCACTGCAGGGCTACGACACGGCGTCCGGGCCGCCAGGGACGCTGTGGTCGTACCAAAAAAAAGCATGGATGGAGGACGTGCTCGGCAAGGACTGGCTGCAGTCGGTCTTCCTCCCCAACGCCAGGAAGGAGCGGCCTCTCCTGCTAGTCGTGGATGGCCACAGCAGTCACGTCACTCTGGACTTTATCCAGCTAGCCAGAGAAAATGGATGTCCACCTGCTAGCCTTGCCTGCGCACACTACTCACTTCCTGCAGCCTCTCGACAGATCATTCTTTGGCCCCCTAAAACAAAACTATAATGCAGTATGCACAAAATTTATCAGGGAAAATCCGGACAAGATGATCAGCAAGTGGGTTTGGCCCTCCCTTTTTAGAGGCAGTTGGCTACAAAATATAGCGCCACTCGCTATAGCAAACGGGTTCCGCGCAACAGGATTATATCCATTCAGTCCAAGCGCGATCCCCGAAGCAGCATTCATGCCGTACGACCTGCCAGCACCATTCCACGATCCAACAGCACCCTTTCAGAGGAGGTAGGCATTGGAGGCACCCCTACAGAGGAAAGACAAGCAGCTGCAGCTACAATAATATCCGCAGAGCTGGCTGCTCCTCAAGTGCTCGAAAACACCTTGAGCAAAGAGCAAGTAGACACGTTCAACAACAGGCTTGAAAATGAGTACGACATGCCAGAAACATACGACCAACTATATTCGTGTTGGAGGAGCTTAAAAGAAGCTGCTGCTGCTGCTGCTACACCATCGCCGCAGCTTGTCGACGTTGTGGAAGCTGTCGGTCCCATTCCATCTTGGGACGACAGTGTCGAATCAATATTCGCACAACCATCGACAAGCACAACCCTAGATAATAACCCTAGAAAAATGAAAAGGCAAATTACATCCCACCGATTGATTCTTAACTGGTAACGAATACATAGCGAAAAAAATTGCGTCAGAGGAGGAGAAAACCCAAATTATAGAAGCGAAGGAAACAAGAAAACGCGAGAGAGAAATAAAAAAGGCAAAACAAGCAGATGATAAAGCAAAGAAGACGTTGGAAAAAGCAAAAAAGGTAATGCTGTAAAATCAACAGTAGATGACGAGTGCGTTGTGTGCTTGACCTCGTGGCATGATGATGAGGGTGGAATGGAGTGGGTGCAGTGTGAGAGGTGTGAAAAATGGCTCCACACTGGTTGCATACCCTTTGTCGTCATTTTTGATGCAGACTCCAGCTTCATTTGCCACCTTTGTCTCTGAAATGTTTGATTGATTGATGATGCATTGATGATTTGATTGATTGATGATTTGATTGACTGATGATGCATTGATGATTTGATTGCTTGATGATGAATTGATTGATTGTTTACCGTGAATTTGCAAAATGAAGTTGAGTTGCGTCTTGTCTGCAGCCACATTTAAAGTTGTGTAACTGAAAGAGAAACAACAACAAAATAATAATTAATAATACTAATGACATATTAAGAAAACTGTAATTAATTTATAAAGTGTAAATGATTAATTGTAGGCCCTATTATTCGTGGTGGCGAATTGTAGGCCTAGTACATATGTGTACACAGGTCGTACATACACATACACACGTGATGAATTGATGATTGATTATTTGATTTCTGATTGATGATGAATTAATTGATGGTTTGATTGATTGATGATGAATTAATTGATGATTTGATTGCTTGATGATTGTTTACCCTGAATTTGCAAAATGAAGTTGAGTTGCGTCTTGTCTGCAGCCCCGTTTAAAGTTGTGTAACTGAAAGAGAAATGACAAAAAATAATAATTAATAACAAATATTAAGAAAACTGTAATTAATTCATAAAGTGTAAATGATTAATTGTTGTAGGCCCTATTATTCGTGGTGAATGAGATAAGATGATAAGATCAATCGCAATTATAATAGAAACAGCAAGCTAGATTGCTTGTGATTTTTATTCCACCTCCTTTGTGAATGTTTAAATATTGACTTACGCGAGTAATGTTTTTATAACTACTAGATTGAATATCTAGGGTTAAATATGCTTTTGAAAGTAGACAAATGTAAACTATTAGCCTAAAAAATGCTTGTTTTTACCTTGAATACCTTGGAATTTTTCTGAACGATGTCATGCCTGCAAAATCTGAGGAACGACTGAGGACGAGCACATGTCATGGTCGCTTAAGTACCTAAATATATTACTCAATAACGTGTTAATTATATGTTTGTACATTTTGTAAATTATATAAGTAAGATTTGTAAACATTTTATATAAAAACATTATTTGGCAATTTAAAAAAAAAAACTCAATAGTGTCCGACTTTACACTCCTACGTGTCCGACTTTACCCTCCACGTGTCCGAGTTTAGCCTCACGTGATTGGAAGTCATTTTTCGTATTCCTGCAGCCTTACAAAAGCTGTCAGGTGTAAGATACACGCATTTATGCCCGAATGTGTCCGACATTTGGCTCCTTTACCCTACCAAATTAATCTATGGTTTGTAACCACTCGCAACAACATGAACAGCGCATGCACGACAACTGCTCGAACGAATAGCGCATACGAACAGGTGTCCGATGCTCGGACGAATATCCACGTCGTTAAATTTATGGGAGCAGGTTTTTAGAGGTAGACTGAATATGAATGAGCATGCTGTCTCCATTTTGTTTCCATGTATTGAAACGTTTTAAAGTAACCCAGCAGGTTATCACTGGTACGTAATTAATACTAATAGCCCATTAAAATGACTTGCGAGATTTTTGCTCAGAAAAACTAAACATAGCTGAATATAGTCTCACCTGACAGCGAGAATATCACTGATTACACCAACATTAAAAATACTAAGATTTTATGCAGTTATAGCATAGAAAATTGGATATGAACACATCGTAACAGCAATGCATTTTATCGTGTCGCGACAATGCCTAATGGCAGAATTGGTAAACTTGTATTTGTGTCGGTGATGAATTGAAAACAAGTGCGTGCCTGCACTGTGGGTATGGCAGATAAGCGGTGGCACCACAAGCTAATCCATACTTCCTATTAGTTCAAGATGACAGAAAACGAATGTTTACAAAAACGATTAGTTCGAAACTGGCAGTTTTCGGTGAATACGAAAGTTTCAAGACATTTTATTGTTACTCTAGACAATTGCTGTTACTCAAGCAATAACGGTAGGTATCATGAAAGTGGGGGGAAACACTGGAAAATTCTCGCAATACTCGCTTTAATATCTATGATAATTGTGCTGAAAGAAACACGATGTCTGTCCGTTGCAGAGAAGACGTTCCAGTGGCCCCAGCTGCAGCTGCAGCCGGTGGTGTCATGGACATTAACACAGCCTTGCAGGAGGTGCTGAAAACCGCCCTGATTCACGACGGACTCGCGCGCGGGCTGCACGAGGCCTGCAAGGCTCTCGACAAGTAGGTGCCGGTGCTGAGAAATCAGAAGGTAGAGACTAGCGCTTGCGTTTACCTTTGCGATTGCCAACGGCATCTCTGATCGTTACCCGACATTCTGTTAATTGGTTTTTCTGTTCAATTTGGCATTGTTAATTGCGCGTACGAGGTTTTATATTTTCTTTTAATCTTAAATGTTAATTTGAAGTGAATAAATTTAAAAATGTTTTTAACAGTGATGGCTTGTAGTTTGCACATGCACAGTCTGTCTGAACCATTGCTGGTGCTTTCCTTTGTAATGCTAATTTGAACTGCTGGTACCAATACTACTATTATTGCTATTAATATGACTTAAAAAAGACCGTCTTCCGTACATGTATTTGTATTTGAATTACACGCAATAAAGATTTAATAATAAAAATAATAATAAGACTATACTGTACGTTTCTAAGCATGTGTTTGTGTTTATGTAGGAGACAGGCTCTGCTCTGTGTCTTGGCCAACAACTGTGATGAACAGATGTACGTGAAGTTGGTAGAGGCCCTCTGCGCTGAGCACAACATCAATCTGATTAAGGTGAGGCTGTCGCCACTGCGTGTGAAGGTCAAGGTTAGACATTCTGCCCTTGGAAGTTGTAATCGGATGTCTAAGTCACCTTTGCATGTGTCCCGTCAGCTAATTAGCTGAGGATCATTGTGAGTAGGAGTGGTCACAGAGCTCTATTTGCTGGCAGTTTGAATAAAGTTGTTTTGTTTTTACCAGTATTTTGTCGGCGTGTTTGTACAGATTTTTATGGGCCTGACCTCCAATCGTTCTCCTTGTAGTGCTGGATCCCATTGTCAAAAACACTGTACATAAGCAGTTGTGACATAAGTCTACAATGTTGTAATGTTTGAATGCGAAGTGTTTTACTTTTAGAGAGAGTTGTGATTGGCATGAGTAGTTATGCTGTTTCTGACGACAGTACTTGATGAGAACAGTTTTTCGACGTTACCTAAACTCTCGGTGATGATATATCTCACAGACCTGTTCTGAGAACTTGTGAGGATTTGTATATTCTGAGAGAGCTGTTATTCGTATCGTATCGTAAATGCTGCATCGCAATCTGTATCGGATCGTGAGCTACCCGTATTCTCCCGTCCCTGTTGCGTCGTAGGTCTCTGAGACAGTGTTATTCTTCCTTCCCCGTAGGTCGACGACAACAAGAAGCTAGGCGAGTGGGCAGGCCTGTGCAAAATTGACAAGGAAGGCAAAGCGAGAAAGATCGTCGGATGCAGTTGTGTCGTCGTGAAGGTGCGTATCGCAGCGGAGCGCGTCCGTCCCCCCATCGCTGGTTTCTTGTTTGCTGTTGTCCTTACGGTTACCCATCTGTGACCTGTCAAAGTCTTGCGTGTTGACGAAAACTTTAAAAAAAAAAATTACACACGTGTGCCTTTAATGCGTTGAGCGGGGAAGCGATACGTCCTAGCGTACGTCCGAACCGTTGGGTCGCTTCATGCAGCACACAAAACGTTGCTGAAAAGGTGGCCAGACGTTACACACGTCGAATTTGTTTCCTTTCGCACACTTTCGAATTGCCGATTACTGTGATGACAAACCATGCTCCCTCATCCGAAGCAGATGACGATTGCAGTGACCAACACAAGTCTGAGAATCGGCAGAGTAAACTAATGTTGGCCTTGTCCGTCGTCGTGTGTGTGAATCGTCGTTATCTTTGCTGGTGTGCTGGCGTTTCGTAAGACCCACGATGCACACGAGCTAGGTGCAAAATTTGCCCAAAGTTGTATTTAAGCCTACCGCTGTGCAGAGACGGGATGTAGTAACTGTGCCTAACTCCTTATCGTTCTCCTCTCTGTATCTTATCTCTCTACTTGTCTTCCTCTTATCTACTCCTAATAATAGTAATATATATGTGCGTGCGCATGCGCCTCTCTATGCTACAAATTTTGCATCGTCAATCCACCGGTGAATTCGTGGGGCGAGTTTGGGGCACAAAAGAAGTGACTGCTAATGCAAGTGTGTTGTAATGTTAAGCGTGTATATGAAGCTAATGAGCTTTGTTTTTATTTGCACGTTCACGCAGGACTACGGAAAGGAGACGCAAGCCCACGACGTCCTGAACGAGTACTTCAAGTCCAAGCGGTGAACAGCGCCATCTGTAGGGCAGGAAAATAAAGATACGACCAACAATGTCATTTTACAGTGATGGCATAGTTGTGTGTTGGATGAACTTTTATCTTGCTGGCAGTAATAAAAAAAGTGAAACATGCTTATTTTGGTTGCTGTTCTATTGTTGTGTATTGTCTCCTATGGGATGGGCTTAAGGATACTCTCACAGAGATGCCAACCACTACGATTTATCCGTATTTTATACGAATTTCTATTCCTTTTGCACCACTCCGACCAGTTTGTATCAAACTACGAATTTCAATGTGATCGAAAAAAAATGTTTGTTTGTCATTTTTTGTCAATTTATTGTCATTATTGACCCTCAGAATGCAGGAAATTGCATCTCAGAATCAAAATTTTTCCCGGGGGCCATGCCGGACCCCGCTAGCAAACTCCGGTCACTACATGACCCTCGAACTACTAATTTGATGGCCAGAAACTACAGATTGCTTCAAATATGTGTTGGCATCTCTGCAGTCTCAACCTTTTGCACGGGTATTGCTCTAATGGAGATTAAACGGTTATTGACGAATGAATCTAATCAATTACACGTTTTATTTATAGAGGAGATATATCTCTATGCTCGAGCCAAAAAATTTCATGAAATTTCCAGCACCTAATTATGTTACCACACAAATTTTGAATTTTTATGTAAAAATGGTATTTTTGATATTTCTAAATTACCACAAAGAGTGAGGAAGAAAAATTGTCGCCACAGGTTAAGCACAATATGTACCAAAATAGCGCATCAGGATTTTTCTTTAAGTTTAATATTTACTGAGAAAAATGAAAAAAACTGCTTAAAAATCAAGTTAATTGTGTGAGAATTGAAAATTTTATCGAATAAATGGGGCATAACTAATAAAATACGACACTTAATAACAATCCCTGACGCGCTTTTTTACAGCAATATGTTACCATTAAAACGAGTGTAAAATTAAATTAATCCGAGTTGTAATCACAGAGAAATATCCATTTATACATCGACTACTAAGTCAGAAATCGAAACGGAGAAATCAGCGTTTTTCTATTTTTCACAATGATCGACCGCCTGTGTGCAAAATGGGTGAACGTATCGGTTGCCGTTGGCAGGCAAGATAATTTTCTTCTGCCGATCTCATACATTCAAACTGGAGAAGGGTAAGGCCGCGGCACTTGGTGAAATCCGATCTATAAAATGCACTGCTCAAAGCATTGCGCTGCGATTTCTCACCTATGCTAATGTACATAGCAATGGTGTATATATATATATATATATACGTATATATATTACACAACAGACTGATACCAATGAATATATTCTATACGGTCTTTGCTGATACGTCAATGTGAACTAGTGACTGGGATATTTATAAGCGAGAGAGAATAAGTGAAAGATCACTCATTTTACCAATGTTTATATTAAATTTATTCCTCAAATTTTAACCATGTTCTATTATTTAATACAAATACAAACATTTCACAATACATTCTACACCGACTTTCTCTGGGGACCGATGAAAGAAACTAAAATAGCATACTACATGTACATTCGTCTAAATTGACATTTTTTGAAACCAAGTGATTTCTGACTTATGATAGTCAACTATACTTATGATGTGTCTGTCTTATAAACGGGACCTTGTTTTACAAAGAACAGCATTCGTACTTCAATAAACCTTTGACATATACAAATTAAGCCTTCGCTTATATTAATTAGCATACTCTGGAACTATGGTAAATCGATATTAACGAACTTGTGCTCAAGTTTCTATCAGATCATTTGTATAGTAGCATGTGTGCTCGAATATTACAAAAGTATCCTGTCTCTTTCTCTCTTTCGCTTACTTTTTTATTCTTGCTCTTTTTCTCTCTCTCTTTCTCTCGCTCTCGCTAGCTTTCTCTCTCTCTCTCTCTCTCTCTCTCTCTCTCTCTCGCGCGCGTGTGTGATGCCCTGCATTTAATGACTACTATTTTAGAGTACGCCATACCTCTGCTGACGTGACCTAGTTGCCAACCAGCGGTCGAGCTCTAATATTTGCAATGATACCGTGGAATTGCGCACAGCCTGAAAGGTTTGGGCGTCAGCGTCATTCCCAGCACACCATTCATATCTGGCCGCGCAGCGCCCTCTGGTAGTTGAAAGCAGAACTTTTGCATCAAGCATGTGAAGAATAGAAAAAGCTCCATCTTGGCTAAACCCTCTCCCAGACATTTCCGCTTCCCTGAAATGTAATCGTGATTGGTGTACAGCGTTGCAAAAACCAAAAGCAATAACGTAAACCTCAAAACGAAATTCAAAATAACTCTGGATTCGCGGGAATGTAGGAACGGTTAGGCGGTGTCGAAACTGTATCGCGGAACTTTGAAGGGGTGATATTCACCCATTGAGAAAGGTACGAATTCAACAAAAAACTGGAACCGCGGGAATGTAGAAACAGTTGGGAGGAGCCCGCAATTCCATCGCATGGCTTTGGCTATATATAGTATGTATATGGTCCCATTCCATCTTGGGACGACAGTGTCGAATCAATATTCGCACAACCATCGACAAGCACAACCCTAGATAATAACCCTAGAAAATGAAAAGGCAAATTACATCCCACCGATTCTTAACTAGTAAAGAATACATAGCAAAAAAAATTGCGTCAGAGGAGGAGAAAACCCAAATTATAAAAGTGAAGGAAACAAGAAAACGCGAGAGAAATAAAAAAGGCAAAACAAGCAGATGATAAAGCAAAGAAGACGTTGGAAAAAGCAAAAAGGAAATGCTGTAAAATCAACAGTAGACGACAAGTACTTTGTGTGCTTGACCTCGTGGCATGATGATGAGGGTGGAATGGAGTGGGTGCAGTGTGAGAAGTGCGAGAAATGGCTCCACACTGGTTGCATACCTGAGTGTATTTTTTAAAGATAAAATAAAAAATATGAGTGTAATTAGAGATATTGTGCATAACATGTAATACTATATTAAAGTAACCTCATTTAAAGGATTGAAGGAAAATGTTATTTGCTGCTTGTGAGAATACTGACATTGTAGAAGGTACATACACTTAGCATTTCTGTAGATACATCAAAGTGCACATCAAGTGTTTGTGTGATCCCAGTCAGAAACCAACCCCCGTGCTCTCATGTAATTTCAATAGACTTCGGATCAAGTAATCACTTCTACAGATCCTGAGATTGTAGAGGTCCCACTTTGTGCATTTGTATATTTTTTATAGTTATAATCAATCTTAAAGTGATAGAGGTATGATTAGATGATCTTCATAAGCAAGTATCAAATATTTGAAGTATGGATACGATATTGATATATGATGTTATCATGTACAAGTGTTAACACAAAAGAGGCTTAAAGAGAAACTTCCCCCAAAATCGTGTAATTGTTAAATCTCTGCCAATTTGCCTTATATTATTGAAGAAAATGTATCGCGGTCAAAAGTATCTTATTGCAGAGAAAATTGTAACTAGTAAAACATCTAATTATCTAAATTCATGTTAGTTGACATGAACAAAATTTTAAATTTTGTTGAAATTGTACTGTTATCCGCTTCAGTCACAAGCGTTATCAAG